CTTTTTCCCTTATACATAAAGTTAATCAGTTTCTAAAGCGCATTGTATGATTTCATGCATATTGTACAGCCTGGATATTAGCACATGGAGCATTGAATCATTGCATTTAGTGATGTGGTATTAATTCAGACTCAGAGTGTGCATTTGATGATTTTTTTATACTAAATAATTCATTCAGTTTGTAGGTTCTAGGTACTGCAACTTATGTGCTGGCTTCCTCTTGTTTATTCTGATAAGTAATAACCCATTATCTGAACCAAAAATGTCATGAAGGTATATCCCGGTCAACAAGTTGGTGGTGTTGAAGCGGACATGATGGCTGCAAACGAGTTGAATGCTCATGCTTCCCTTCAAGTAATATAACAGCTCTCAGTCTACAAGCATTTATGAATCAATCGTTATTACGTTTCTGTTGGTCTGGGAACTTTGCCTGTAATATTTAAATGTCTGTGCTTTGCAGAGCAGTTCAAAAGCCGCCGCCTGTCAGAATATTCAAATACTTCTAGGAGGATTTGAAACCAAGACAGGGGAACAGGTCTATGTCATCAAAGTTTCACCTTCATGTAGATTGCATCTTCTTCACTTTCTTGTGCTGAATATATTTATAAACGATAAGTTATCTACAGTGGCTTGCTTTCCGGAATGATGGAAAATATAGTGCTGCCGACTATGCAAAGGTATCGAGTGAAAAGATGTCAAAATATCTTGGAGAACAGAAGCTTTGGAATCCTTTCGAAAAAGATGTAACTATAAAGAGGAGAAGCAAATTTGTTCTAAAGCTGCTTCAGGGTGCTATGAGAGGCCTGGCCTATATGCATGACCACGACAGATTACACCAAAGTCTTGGAGCTGCCTCTGTTGTTCTCAAGTGCGTGCCTGAGAAATAAAGTTTAGCTAACAAATAGCAATTCATCTTCCTTACTTGCTAGAAACTACTCTCTACTAATTTGAACATTATGCACTCATCTATCTTGCAAATGCCAGTACAATGGTTGAGAAAGATTCGGCTTATCTAGTTCCACGGCTGCGGGATCTTGCCTTCTCAGTTGATATAAGGTATTTCATGGTATAGTTTATCTGCATCATACTGATGCACGACCAGATTAATTCTTTTCTGGTGAAATATAGAGATATTCTGAAACCTTAATTAAGTGCTCTATATTTTGCAAGAGTTCTCTTACTACCTATTACCATCACAGTAAGCACATTGTGTCATTATGTTTATAATTTATGCATGACATATGTTTCTTCATGTATATGCATATAGAATGATATTGGCAGACCATTTCTGCTCGGTTGGAACTAGGTTTGGGATGCTGCATATCAATATAATTTAATAAAAAAAATCTTGAGGTGGAAGGATGGAGTGTTGGAACTAAGGGTGATAAAATTCCCGAAACCCCAGATAGCTAGGCTCGGCTTGGTTTCGCAAAGAAAAAAGCTGGTTTTGCTCGAACTGAGAACCAGCCAGATAGGTTCAGTTCTTGAGATTGAGAGCAGAACCAGAAATTGGAATCGGTTCCCCGAAATTTTCTTCCAACGTTTGGTCCATTGCACCATTACAGCGGTATACTGGTATTAGATATATTCAGTTTCAAGGAATGCTCGAGAGAGGAACAGATCAAAAGTTGCTCCTTCCTTTCTCATCTCGAGGCAACTTCTTTTTTCTCTCCATTTTTATCCTCTATTTGGTCCCATATAATCCTTAACCTAATTGAGAAACCCCCTATTGCTAACATCATAGGTGAGATCAAAATAATACCTAATTTGTGCAGAAGGAACTGTTGAGGTGAGCTTTGCATCTCATTGGATTCATGAATGCTCTACGTAATTCCACTTGATAATATTCAGACGCTAAGGAAAACATTATAATAGTATCCTTTTTTTGTTGACAAGTTACCATATAATACCCTGTGTTCTCACCGGTTATTACTTTACTTTTATTGTGTGCAAGTGAAAGTATACCCGATAATATATATTTCATTTCTTATTACGGTTCACCTGCTTTCTTAAGTCTTGGATATAGCTTCTTGAGCTCTTATCACGTGACCGAACCCTACTGGAATTTTACGGTTCCAGTATGGTTCGCCCGGTTCTGGTATGGTTCGGTTCTTTTCTAGCATATGGAACCATCTATGATGCTCAGACTCTCCAAAAATGGCGGAGTATCCGTGTCGACACGAATATTGACATCGGATACGTGTCGGACTCTCGGTTTTGAACTCGAACACAGCTGGAATTTATAGAGATTGCTGCTGCAACTTTTGCAGAATTTGTAGAAAGAGAGTTGGAGAAGACGACCTTTGAAGAAGATGAAAGGTTGTGGTAGATGGAAGGTTGTGGTTGTGTATTAAATGGGCCTCTGTGGAGCCAGTGAAAAAGTTAGAAAAATGGGGAATTTCCATAATCGGTTGGGCCGCCCTCAATAAGTGTATTCTTCCAATAAAAAAAAGAAAAAAAAAAGAAAGAATTAAGTGGTTTAAAATCAATAATTTATACTGCCATAATAGGAGTTATCTCTAAAGGTTTTATTATTTATTGTAAATGGCATGATTTTGTCGTTTTATTTAGGATAAAATTAGTTTAATATTTAATTCTAAATTTGTTTGATTCAATAGTTTAAGTTACATTTATCCATTTTGAGTGATTTAAATCAGTTAGAAAGTTTATATTTTTTGCTTTAATTGAATCATTTTTTTGGAAAAAAAATTATAAGACGTATTCTCGTACGGGTATCCAAAATTCGGATCCTTTTTAAACGTGTCCCCATAACTTAATTTTTAAAATGAGAAGAATCCGACTCCTAGATATGTACCCGTACACGACACCCGCACCCGAGTCCGAGCATCATAGGGAACCATTTATTTCCTTGTGTAAAAATCGCCATTTGGAACTTGAACCATATGTGTGTGAGTGTGCGCGCACTCTTCAGTAACCTACAACCAAGGTGATGTTAAAAATTTAAATAAGATAATTAAGATATCATGTTAATGACATTTGAATTGTAGTGATAAACTAAAGGGTAAACTTCAAAGTGTGTCGTCGGATTTGAAACGTGGATTTATTGCCAAGGAATGTCGATGAAAATTCCATTTTTGTATCTGAAACATTAGCACTTTGTGGAGCAAGGGCTTCTAATCTTTCTCCCAAACAACACTTTCCTTCTGCACACCACCCCAGACTAATTGTTAATTCTTCATTACATACCATCATGCGAGGAGACAATCCAAGGTCTATTACTTGCGAGAGAGCCACGTGAAAGCTACATAATACCCTCTCCGAGGAGACAATCCTCAATGAGTTCTTGTAGTTTGTGAGGTATTGTAGCAGGAGGCTAACCATGTATTACCAAAATTTAGCCCTTGTTTGAGCCCTATTTTTCAATAATACATTATTCTCTAAATTCATTTTCAATCACATATTCGCTTAATAAAATAATATTACATGCAAATCTGAAACTTTTTCATACTTTTCAACCACATTCTTAAAAAATTCACTATTTCAAAATCTATTTTTACCAAATAATGGAGCTCAAACAAGTGCTTAATTAAGTATCATGCATGTACACTTCACCATTTAGAATGATCAATTTGTAAAACGGATCACATGGTGGTGAGCTCCCCAACCCCGTGTACGTCCGAGGTGAATTGGGTGATCTTTTAAAATCATTTTCCTGAATGTCATGTTTTATCTTTTAAGAGGTGAAAAATTTGTTGGTGTTCTAGGCATTCTCAGCCAGAGGAAAATTCAAGATCTCCATCGGACGAGCTTTGGAGACGAGCATCCGCTGCTGGTGCTTTCACCCCTATGGAGAAAAGAGCTTTTGGAATAGCAGATGACATGTGAACATCTTTCATTTTGTTCTCCTATTATGTTTAAGAAAATATAATTATATTTACACCATGTCTTTTGTGAGGTACTTTACAGATATGAAGCTGGTCTTCTTTTTGCATACCTAGCTTTCATTCCGTTCTGTGAAGCAGGAGTCATGGACAGTCTTTCGCTGAGAGTGGGTCATAAATTTATCTTAATTTGTTTTCTCATTACACTATCTACTAGACATATTCTGCTCATGGTGCTGAACATTGTGTCACAAACTTACAGAGGCTTCTGGAGAACACATTCCAGCTTGATCTTGATGCCATGAGAGAGTAAGTTGCATTACATTTTATTATTTAGACTAGTAATTATCGGAAAGATATATGGGAAGACTAGAATGCATAGAGAAGGAACTTGAATGAAAGTGCAGACAATCATCACACTCTGCATGATTATTGTTCTTTTCACCATTGTTTTCACAGACTATGTTACAAAATTATATTGAGATGCAAGATAAAGTACAAACCTCCACTAGTACAAATTTAGGCCTGGTTGCAGGCAAACGTGCCACACAATTGTATTGCTGGAGCTCTTCTAATTTTGGGCTGAGCTTCTCTGTACAACTTCCTGCCCCAACAGTCTTACGCGGCTTTATGAATGCACTGAACCCTTAGGAATTTCATTATCTGTGTCAATCCCGATTTGAGGGGGCTATTGGTGTTTGGAGAGAAGTTATATATATATACATATATATACATATATACACATATATACATATATACATATATATATATATATACACATATACACACACACACACACACACACATATATATATATATACACACACACACACACACACACATATATATATTTATTTATTTATTTATTTATTTATTTATTATTTATTATTATTATTATTTTTTTGGTGGTGGAACCTTTTTTGGCTAAGGATTTATATATATTTCGATTTCACAAGGGAAAAATAGAGTATCAAAATTTTGTTGGGGGGTGAGTGAATAATATAGCTGCTGTGAAAATTAATTGCAGTTTAACAGATAGCTTGTAACTTTATTTGATATTGAACCTGCAGAGGTTGTAGGTTTTTTTTTTCTTTCCCCGTGCACACATAAATAAAATTTTGTCTACTTATCTCGCGTTGTCTCCCTTTATCTTTTTCTGTTTCTGTTTCTGGGGGAGTTGGGAGGTCGGAGGCTGCCAACAATTTATACTTTTACCGAAATTATAATTTTGTGCTAGCATGATAAGTATTAAAGTTTCTGTGTTGTCCCATTGATTGCTCGTTTATTGTTCTTGACATTTGTTCCTTTTGGCAGATACTGTTTGGCTGATGACCGTTTGCTAGAAGCTGTCAAGTTCTTGGATCTTGGTGCTGGTGCTGGTTGGGAGTTACTTCAGGTTCAGTGACTACGTAAATATGATGACTAATATTGTTTTCGTTTCTTTTAAGTGCTGAAACTACCATCATACACAAGGCATCCTTCATTAAAGATTGAACAATTTCTTTGTTTACATGGTCCGTTTCCCCCTTCGTTTCTTTCAGTTATCCTGCGTTTGTTTGATGTTTGAGTTTATTCTATTTCAGTAAAAGAATTTCTGTCATGCTTCCAAATTTTTTGCTCTCTGCATTAGGGGAGGGTGTGGGGCAGTGATAGACTCTTATCACACCTACATACCCTAGAAGGACCCAGAAGAATGTAGAAGAAAATTCAGTTAGACATATTCAGTTACAGGCAGGGGTATTGTGGGAAATATGGTGAGATAGGATGCCTATAAATGTGAGAAAGGTCAGTCTGGGAAAGGGGGAGAAAAGGGAGGAGAAGAAAGTGTGGAGAGACTAGCCCTCTCGAATGGCTATGTGTTTTCTTTTTTCAGTAGTGTAGTTTCATCAATAAAATACAGCATTTCATTTCTATTCTAGTATTGTTCATTCACTGGAGCCGGGATCCTAACAAAATGGTATCAGAGCAACCATTCTGGCCCTGGGGTATTACATTTGATGAAGAAAAGCAACTTGAAGATAGAGTCGATAAATTAGAGGCGAAAATTGATGGGATTCAATTGAAAGTAAAGGAAGATCTGGAAACACTAAAATATGACATTAAGAAGGTGATGTCTATCATGATGGAGAAGCTTGATCTGATGATGGGATAATTGGGTCAGGCAGGAGCAGAAAAAGGTCAGGCAATTACATTACCTGAATTGGATGAAATTGGGGCAATTACCCTTGAATCGGATGAAACTGGGGTTATTACTGATAGCCATAAATCGCGAGAAGAACCGGGTAAGTCGGAGGCACGCAATTGTAGGCTGAGAATGCTGGTTTCGGAAGGAATTGCAACTCCATTGCAGGCAATCTCAGATGTAGTGAAGGAAGTGGATCAGTAGGAGCATGAAGGGAAAGTGAAAGGACGGGCAGCTACCCCGTCTAAAGCCACCTTCAATTCTGATATCCTATCTAAACCTGGTGAAATTGGAGCTACTCCAGGCGGCAGGATTTGCAGGGAGTACCAGAAGCCGTTCGAGGTCATGGCCGTTCTTTTGCCAACCGAGGAATTGGATGGTAGTCTCGTTTAGGGGCTGAAATCATGGGATATGGTTGAGGTCACGAGTTTGCCTATAGGTGTGGGCCAAAATATGGAGATAGTCCAAGGGGTTGAAGACAAGAATGAAAAGAAGCAGGCCCAATTAAATTTTGGCCCATTTAAACCTAAAGTTAATACCTATAACCCTAGCCCAAAATTCCCCAATTTCTCTGTCCACACATGTAACCCAGTTTACCAGGTACCACATCAAACAAACTCAATCAACACCAAATCCACGGCCACCTCCATGTTCTGTCCGTCCACGATAAAAGGAAGACATCCATTTGAAACGTTGAAAGACATTGAGTTAGATGGGAAGAGGGGGCTATGTTATCGAGATGATGAGAAATACATTCCAGGTCATCGTTGTCGAAACAAGGAGCTACAGGTTTTGATGGTACAAGTGGTAGAAGGGAGTAATCAATTGAAAGTTCAAAAAAGTGATTTTAGGGGGTATTCCATGTTGTTCACGAGGGATTTGGTGCCTTGCAAAGTGGGTTGGAATGAATCTAATCAGAGGGGCCATGGGACTTTACTACCAAACAACGAGACACGAGAAATAGTTCGGGATATCAATGATAATAAATTTGGATGGGAAGGTGGCTACAAAAGTGGAGAGATTTTTAACACCATCAATTGTGTGGAGGACACTGATACATTAGGGTTGTTAATTAATCCAATTGTTGCACAAGAAGAGGGGGTTGTGGAGTTGATCGATTATGCTACCTTCTACTATGGTACTCCAATTCGCCAGTTTCATTTTCTCGAAAATTTGCTAAGGTGTGCGACCGGTTATGGGGTTTTAATGGACAATATACTACTCGTAGTTAATCACTTTGCCAAATTTTTCGGGTTGAATTATCTCTTCTTTGCTCTTATCTTGACTAGGATTGGTCCAAGCTTTCACCTTGAGGACAAGGTGAATTTCAGGGGGCGAGTAATGATAGACTCTTATCACACCTACATACCCTAGAAGGACCCAGAAGAATGTAGAAGAAAATTCAGTTAGACATATTCAGTTACAGGCAGGGGTATTGTGGGAAATATGGTGAGATAGGATGCCTATAAATGTGAGAAAGGTCAGTCTGTGAAAGGGGGAGAAAAGGGAGGAGAAGAAAGTGTGGAGAGACTAGCCCTCTCGAATGGCTGTGTTTTCTTTTTCAGTAGTGTAGTTCTCAGTTTCATTAATAAAATACAGCATTTCATTTCTATTCTAGTATTGTTCATTCACTGGAGCTGGGATCCTAACAGGCAGGTTGTGAATTGTCCGCTTTGTTTTGGCTAATCTAGTATATGAGAAATAAGAATACAAGAAAGATTGTGTTCTTGACGGTTGCTTGGAATAATGTCTTCAACTTCTTTTTTCTGTTGGATGTAGGCTATGTTAAATCGTGACTTCCGGAAGAGACCAATTGCAGATGCTGTTCTGAGCCATCGGTTCATGGCTGGTGACTTCCTTTAAGTTGATTCAGAAGGATACATCCCAAATATTTTGTATACAATTGAGATCTGAAGAGGCAAGCTTCTCAAGTACAAAAAACTGATGGGATGAAGACACTAAAGTCTGTAACCCCTGAGGGTATTTTGGAATTTTTAGTTATTAAAGATTGCTTTAAGAAGAGTTGAAAAAGTAAGGTGTTTGTTCATTTTGTCTATCTACGTTAGGCATCTTTCTCATTTATCATAATTCATTGCTTTAAGAAGAGTTGAAAAAGTAAGCTGTTTGTTCATTTTGTCTGTCTACTTTAGGCATCTTTCTCACTTTTCACAATTCATTGCTTCAGCAAAGCATTATTTGCCAATAAGAGGTTGATGATGGACCAAGAGAAAAGTTGCCAAAAACTTTTATTTTCGAACATGTTTGGATTAGCTTAAATGCTATAAATGTTGCTAAATTATGTTCAATTGTATTGTCGAGAGAAGGCTAAACTTTTAGCCAGTTTTGTTAAAAAAAAAAAAAAAAAAAAAAAAAAAAGAAAGAAAAACACATTGGTAGAAATATACACGCAGAGGCAAAGCCATACGGTGTAGATAACTTTTCCTTCTAACCCGTTGAAATGGAAGGGAAAATAGCAGGGGAGAATTCCAAAATCTGAAGCATTTTACACAACCTTGATTCCATTCAGGGGCGAAGCCAGGATTTTCGTTCAGTGCGGGCAAAAAATTTTTGACGACGAATGTCAAGGTTTTGGTTAGGGATTTAATGACAATAAAAAAATAAAACAATAGTACATCAATACTAAAAACGACATAATTTATATATTACACTTGTTCTTTGCGAGTTTTCATACTTTGATATCGTTGTATAATAACTTCATTATTGAACCTGAAAAATATATCTTTCTCCACATAAATAATTGTGTTATCATTCATCCACTAATCACCCAATTACTACTAGGTGTGGGAGTAATTCGAGATGTCAAATGAATCACAAATACTGGAAGCAACTCAAAAAACTAGTGCAATTCACAATTTCACAAAATCAATTCACAATCTCACAATGCAATATATACTATTTCCAAATACTAGGCAACTTGAACTTGCAATCACAGATTCCCAGAGAGCTAAAGCCCAGAGGCAACAATGAACTGGTGGTCCACTGGAAGTTTGTGCCACTTCGAGCAATTAAAAAACAAAGTGCTAATTTAATATGTTAAAAACAAAAAACAAAAAAAAATATTATTACAATTTACACAAACTGAAATAACCAAAAACAAAATAAGGGAAAAAAATTTGGGGCTTCGCCTTTTGCTTTCTGGAATCTGGCTTCTTCTTTTGCCGACTCGGCTGGTTGGCGTTGGCACTTAGCGCCTCGGCGGAGTTGAGGATGTAAAGTCGGAGTCAGAGATGTGAGATGTCAAGATGAGAGCCTAGAGTAGGAGATATACAATAATGGACTGTCGGAGAGGGAAAGGGAACGACGATTGTACTGTGACGACTGTCGAAGACAACGGTTGACGGAGAGGGAAGGGAACGGCGGGCTTTGTCACCAGTGGAGAGGGAATGGGTGGCGAAGTGTGAAATCGTCATAGACAAAGTCATGAAGGGTAGAAATTTTGAAATAAATGAATGGGTTTGGGTCAACAATTGATTTAATTAAATTTTGATATGAATGGGTCTAAAACGGGTCATGACCTTGCACAATTGGGCTTCTCTCTCTGTGCTGGATCGAGAATTGAGTTACTTGATTAAACAAACAAATCTAAAAAAAAAAAAAAAAAAAAAAATTTTGCCCAAAAGTCCAGTGCGGGCCTATAGTGGCTCCGCCCCTGATTCCATTCTTCAGAACGAAGTGTTCGTGTCTTGAATCCTTCATTTTATTAGCGCATTGGTCCTTAGTGGGCAATTTTACCCTTATCTTTGTTGACAAGCTAAATTTGTTCTCGGCACATCTTTTAGCAAATTGCGGATTGACAAATACTTTAGTGCTTGTACAACTTTCTTTTTCTTTTGCTTTTATTGTTAATTGCTTCTATTATTTTTTCTGCTTCTGTAAGTGAGATAGTATCTTCAAGTTTACAAGTTTCTTTGTCAAATTTTCTGCCTCCTCTAATTGTAGTTCGAGGTAAGGTTTAAGTCTTCCTCTCACGTGTATTAAAAAACATGGTAACGAATACTTTGCTTCATATTGAATAGGGATATCAATTTTCCCTGCCAAACTTGAGTCTCATGGTGCTCGTGTCATTTGTGGCAACGATGTCTCGCTTAATTGGGACGACTATAGGGCAAAAATTGATGTCCTTGTACATGCGTGGATTTTCCTGTCCTGATCCAATTTTTTCAGGTTCAAACTCGAACCGATTACTCAAAGCTCATTAGTACAATTTTCGAATTGCTTAAAGAATTTACAACAAAAATAAGAAAAAAAATGGGGAAAATTGTTAAACGGAATTGACTGCCAACTTAGATAAAAATCTAAAAATCTTAGCTAAACTTAATGGAATTTTAGTTAAAATGTTTTCATCTAATTTAATATTTATTGCTTGTTTGGTAGGAATTTTGATAATTGATTTTTTTGATTGTTAGAGAGAAAGTGAATCCTACTTGTAAGAAAAAAATTCAAAAATGACAGCTGAAATAGAGAAATAACAATCAAAAAATTAATTTTAATTGACTTTTAACTACTACCAAACAAGTTCTTAATGGAATACCTGTAGCACTCCAAATTCATAAATTTGGCCAACTTAACTATTCATGAGGATTTCTCTTAATTTCTGTATTTATATAAAGCTGGAGAATTGCATTTCCAAAAATAACTACATCATTCCCCTTCTTGTAATAATTTTTATTCTTTTACTGTTACATCGTTGTGCAGAGTGGCATTAATCCACCTTAAATTCTATTTATTTATTTATTTTTTCATAGTGAATAAGAAATCAGAAAAGTAATTATAGAGCGTCGCAAGAAGGTTGCTTTCTGGAATCCTAGGATACGGAAGAGAAGGAAAGTGTCAATAAATCAAGCCCAATTCCTATCGCCAGACCGAATTGAGAAATTCAATAAGGACTATAACCCAGGCTCTATCCTCTTTGGCCGTGGATATTCGCATCAAAGGGAAGGCAGTAGGGTTGAAACAGACTCATCGATTGGTAAGTTTGTCAAACCCTTTCCTTTTTTCCTTGAAGATAATCGTTTTTTCGCGCCTGCTTGTTCTGATTTTCTTGATTACCGTGGCTGGTAGTTTTCGTTCTTGATTAACTGATTTTTCTGGTTTATTAGTTTAATTATCAAGTTTGATACAATTGAAATCGCACAAACTTGATGTTGCTATGAACTCGACGGATGAAGAATATGATTAATTAAAGTCACGTTTGTGATTTAAAAAGTTGGGATTCTGTCAGCGGAAAACAGACACAATCCAACCTATAAGGGCTGATCCTTGTGGCAACGCTTCAATTGCCCCCTAGTTATTTGGAAAGGGATCTCAAGGATGTCAATTTCCCGCTGCTCAAACGGGGCCGTGCAACTAATGTTAGTGAGGTCCTCTGTGGGAGTGTGGATGACATTGCCGAATCTTTGGCACTTGTCACATGACATATTTCTGGGTGTCTTTCTTCATGGTAGGCTAATAATATCCATACCTCATGAGCTTGAAGGCTAATGCCCGAGCTCCTTGATGGTTCCCACATATTCCTTCATGAACTTCTTCTAGGGCTTGGAATGATTCGGAAGGCCTAAGGCATCTGAGGTATGAAAGTGTGAGGCTCCTGCGAAATAAAACTCCTTCAATCATGACGCCTGCGGTCTGATTGATGCTTGGCTCGGTTACAATTCTAATGTGGACTGTCTTGTCAAGCCCATCTATCCCCATGAACACCAATCTTGACAAGGCATCGGCTTTACAATTCTCAGCCTGAGTAATTTTCACAATTTCACAACTCTTGAACTTTCTTTGGAGATCATGCACTTTCAAGCAGTATAAGCTCATCTTCTCGTCCTTCCTATCGAATGTCCCTTCAATTTGTCCAACCACCAACTGGGAATCACTGTAAATTTTGATGTTTTCAAGCTCGAGATTGATAGCAAGTTCCATGGCTATGATGACGGTATCATATTCTGCTTCATTATTGGTCGCCTCAAATTCGAACCTGAGTGCACACTGAATGTCTATGAGCGTGTCCGGGCTTATGATTATGACCCTTGCACCCGAGCCTGAGGAGTTTGATGCTCCATCTACAAAAATTTGCCACACGCTTGTGGAAATGCTCGAGCTACCATCCGGCCCCCGAGGCCTTGGGGTGAGTTCTGCAATGAAATCAGCTAAGGCCTGAGTTTTAATAGATTGATGGGGCTTGAACTCTATGTCAAATTCTCCGAGTTCAATTGCCCACTTCAGTAATCTTCCTGAGACGTCTGGTTTCTGAAGAATGTGTTTTAGAGGCTGATTGGTGAGCACTACAATAGGATGTGACTGAAAATATTGTCGAAGTTTTCGTGCTGTCACTATCAGTGAAAGGGCAAGCTGTTCTGCCAATGTGTATCTTGTTTCTGCATCAAGTAAGACTTTGCTTACGTAATAGATGGGTTGTTGGGCCCTATTAACCTCTTTTACTAAGACACCGCTGACTGCATTCTGAGACACGGCTAAGTATAAATACAAAGTATCCTCGGGCTCGGGTTTGGTGAGGATAGGAGGAGATTCTAATGTCTGCTTGAGCTCCTGAAAAGCCTTCTCTCACTCCTCATTCCATTCAAAGCAATAATTACCCCTGAGGGCTTTGAAGAAGGAGAAGCACCTATCTGCTGCTCGGGAAATGAACCTGTTTAAGGCGGCTACCCCGCCTGTCAACTTTTGAACTTCTTTCTTGGTCCTTGGTGATTCCATTGCTGCTAAAGCTTGAATCTTATCGGGTTTGGCCTCAATCCCTCGATGAGTGATCATGAAACCCAGAAACTTTCTCGAAACTATGCCGAATACAAACTTCTCTGGGTTGAGCTTCATCTTATATTTTCGTAAGGTGACGAACACCTCCTCTAGGTCGGATATGTGTTGTTCTACTTTTTTACTCTTTACAACCATGTCGTCCACATAGGCCTCGATGTTCTTTCCTATTAAATTGGCGAAGACTTTGTTAATGAGCCTCTGATATGTCGCCCCAGCATTTTTCAATCCAAATGGCATCACCCTATAGCAATATATGGCTGAGTCAGCCATGAATGAAGTCTTCTCTTGGTCTTCTTTGGCCATGAGGATTTGATGATACCCTGAGAATGCATCTAAGAAGCTGTACAACTTATGTCCGGATGTGCTATCCACAAGATTGTCAATTCTGGGTAGTGGGTAGCTGTCTTTAGGGCACGTTTTATTAAGATCTGTGAAGTCGATGTAGACCCTCCATTTATCACTGGCCTTCTTTACAAGAACAACATTAGCGAGTCAATCGGGGTATTGGACTTTCCTTATGAACCCCGCTCTCACCAGTTTGCGGACCTCTTCCTAAATGACTACACGTCTTTCTGGCGCAAACTGCCTCTTCCTTTGCATAACAAGTTTGGCTCCTTCAGGGTCTATCCCTGGCATATCCTCGACCTTCCACGCAAAAATATCGATATTGCGGGACAGGCAATTGATGACTTCCTCCCATAGGTTGGCCTTCAAATCCCAACCAATAGTCACCGTTTTCCGGTGCTCGAGCTCGAGGTCTGAAAGTTGCATGACGTCTGTACTCATTCCTCGGATGCTAGTAACATAGCACTGTCTGGCAGCTGTTTGGTCTCCTTGAACTATTCCGATGCCATGACCTGTGGGGAACTTCATAGCCAGATGGAAAGTTGATACAATAGCTTGGATCTTATTCGGTAGGGGTCTTCCTAGAATGATGTTGTAGGCCATTGGGGTACTAACCACTTGGAATGGTGTGATCTCCGTCACTTGTGTATTACCAGAACCTAACGTAAGCGGGAGCTCGACGATGCCCTTAGGGATAATGAGTCCGCCACCAAATCCCTGTAGAGGAGTTTTCACTGCTTTGAGTTGTTTCGGAGAGATTTCCATTTTGGCGAAAGCTTCCTGCGAGCGTATATTTGCTGCACTCTCATTATCAACCAGAATCCTCCTTACTTCGAAGTTAGCTACAATTGCGGAGACGACCAAAGCATCGTCATGAGGATATGATATTCCTTCCAAATCTTTTGCTCCAAAAGTGATGTCTTTAACTTCATCACGGGATTCCCTTGGGGTATGAGCATGTTGGCGGGCATATTGCTTTCGCCCACTATTTGTGTCTCCTTCAGATGCTATGCCCCCAACGATAATATTAATGGTCCCGGCAGTAGGTTGAGCACTGCTTTCGACTCCAGGCGCTTTCCGATTGTCACAGTCATTCCTCGGGCGTTTATCATGACCAATGTAATTATTTAAAAATCCTCTTTTAATAAGGACTTCAATCTCTCGTTGTAAAGAATGACAATCCTCTGTGGTATGTCCATGATCTCGGTAAAATTCGCAATACTTGTTCCTATCTCTTGTGTCGGGGGGCGACTTTATCCTTGAAGGCCACTTTAATTCTTTCATGTCCTTAATCTCCATCAAGATGTTTGTCTTAGAGGTGTTCAACCGAGTGAGAGGTGCTGACGGAGCCTCATTCCTGCGCTTATCCTGAGGAAGCTCATGCCGGAGGATTGGATCATGTTGCCTCTTGTTTTCGACCTTTTCATGAGAATGACCAGCTCTCCTTGGATTCAACGTTTCCTCCATATTAATGTACTTTTCAACTCGGTTAAGGAGTTCGATCACTGTCTGTGGTGGGGTCTTTGATAAAGACATTTTGAAAGCCTCGCACTTTATGGCATAGGTGAGGGCAGAAACTGCTGCTGTAATGTGAAGGTCGGGTATTTGAAATCTTTTCTTGTTAAATCTTGTCATAAAATCTCGTAGGGTTTCATTCGGTCCTTGGCGCAGTTGCATGAGAGAGGTCGCGGTCTTCCTGATTCGCTTACTACTTGCAAAGAAGGCTGAGAACTTATCAGCCAAATCTGAGAATGAGGCTATGGAGTTGGGCTCCAATGTCGAGAACCAATCCCTATCAGCATTAGTCAGTGTTTGTGGAAAGGCTTTGCACATAACCTGATCCGGCGCAACTTGCAAGTTCATGGCATCAGTATATACATTGAGGTGGTTGATGGGGTCGGTCGTTCTATTATACTCTTTAATGCGAGAATATTTGAATCTGTCGAGCAAGGGATATGTCAATATCTCTGGTGTGAATGGAGTGTTAGGGGTGAAACCCGTTGGCCCTCGAGCATTCCGTTGCAGGCCAGCTGTAATTCCTTCTTGAATGATCCGGGCAATTTCACCGGAATCCATGGCGACCGATCTCGAGTCCGAGGCCATATTGTGAATACCCGAGATTCCTACTCCGCCAGTAGCGGGGTTTGGTGGTCGTGCTCGAGCATCAGCCATAAAACCGCCATGCTCTGCCTGCGCTGGTGACGGATGTGAATTTGTTTGACTTAACAATTGCGTGAGCGTGGCCATCTGCTGATGGAGCTCTTCAAAGGCTTCGGTTGTGATGGTCGCTGGCAGAGATGCGGGCACTCCTGACGATTCTTCATGAGGAGCCGGTTGATCTTCGACAGGTTGAGGGATGAGAGCGGATGAGCTTGCGGGAGGAAGACTTGATCGTGTGTTAACCATGGCTTTTGGTAGTGATTCCCACAGACGGCGCCAATGATGCTACCAAAAATCGTACCTGTTGATTTCCCGAGTTTGATGATTTTGATTGAGCAGGATCGTGGTCTTCCGGTATCTGAAACAAAGGCAATGAGGTATGTTCTCGTCGTCCCTCCGATGCTTAAGTCAGAAAGGGAATTATATGCGTGAGGCTATAAATTGGAGAATAATGAAAAATGTACCTGAATAATGGCTCAAGGTTCCGTATTTATAGAGGTGTATAGTGCTTTCCTTGTTGGATTTAACTATCTGGGTATCCTTATCCGATAGAGTCCCATGAGAAAGCAGTGTTTGGATCCTACTATGATTAGAAGACTAATTGTTAAGAGGACTCTCTTAGACTTAGGAGACGTGGTTTGAAGTATTTGTGTCAGATAAGAGTTCTCAGGGGATAGACCTTCTCCTTAGTACGAGGAAGATGGTAGTTGAGGACCTCAAGGGGATTTCCCCAAACTATTATTCCCGAAGACATCTTGCAATCTTTGAAAGTTATCAAGGTCAGGCACAAGCACTGATGACTAGAAATCGTAAGAAACGCTTTCGCAAATGGTCGGGGATGAAAGTGGTCGGGATACGCAATATCTGTCAGTATCAACAACTAAGAAACATAGGCATTAATTTTTAAACAAGTGTGTTCCTCAACTGTGAACATTTAGAAACAGTTAATCGTCAGGCTTTAGGCTGTTCCTGTCCCTTCTTCAACTCTCTAGTGGTCAGGGATCCTTTCTCTACGCCACTTGTGTTACTAGATAGTTTAATAGCCACTCGGACTTTTCTAAAACTTAGTGCTGAATGTATACTGCTGTCTTTTGAGAGTTCACAATGTGCAAGTTCAAGTGTTATCATCATTTTGTCAAAGTACTAACCTTCATCTCTGTCGTGATCCTTGGTTCTTTTGTGGGTTTTATGACCAAGTTTACCTTCTTTAGCGGACTTGTCTTTTGCATTTAGGTAGGTTCAAACTTACACGGAATACGCATCGTTATCCATCGCATGAAGTATTGTTATCAACAGCTTATGAGTTAAAATACTCACTGCCTTCGAATAGAAAACAGGTGCCAACATTGTCCTCCCAAATTTGTCTTGGTCATCAAATGACCTGAAACTATCATGTTAGTACTTGTATTACAAAATATTGATTCAAAAATTGAATTCCGATTTTGATTGAAAGAGACTTGTAAACCTCTACACATCACAGAAACTGCCTTATCCCTTCTTAACAAAGTTTATTTCTAACCCCACAGAGACTAGAGCTGTAAATGGAGCTTGTATTGAAAACAACAGAGTGCAATTGAATACAATTAGTTGCAATCAATTAAGTTGCAGCTAAATGCATCTATTTCAATCCTCCCATGATCTGCACTTGTTATGCATGAATTGGGTCATGCCATAAATTTATAAAATAAGGTACCATTTAAATCCTCACACAATCTGCTCTTATTATGAATGAATTGTGTCATCAATTTATGAATTTATAGCAAAATAAGGTACCATTTTTCGGCAGAATAAATGGGGCTCAAAGAAACCCAAAATAAGGTATCATCAATTAAGCTCCATCATAGACGAATGTTTCGATCCTCCCTTCATTTGTTCTTATTTGGATGTGTAAATTGGGCCATATTTGTTGATGAAGCTCTCGTGTGCACCAGAAGCAATACCGACTAAGATGATGTTGTATATGGGTTGTTAAGTTATTTTTATATGAACGATGAAACGGCAGTACTACTGCACCAGTCAATTTACCCCTTTTTCATATCTTGTATAAAACAGAGATATTAATAGCATGATGCTAATTTGAGACCTTACATTGGGATGATTTCATTAATGAGACTCAGCTGCTTAATTTTCTGTGTCAGTCTTTGTGGTTTCTCAAATAGAATATGATATATTTTTTGTCAGGCTTTCTCAGGCTGCATGGCTTCTTAATATTTGTGTCCGTGTCTCTGTGGTTTCTGAATTAGAATATGATATATTTTTTGTCAGGCTTTCTGAGGCTGGCTGCATGGCTATATTGGCTAATTTTGTATAGATGGAAGATTCTATTTGCCTACAAATCCTGCATATACGTCAAATATTTGCTGGCGACTGACCCTCCCCTACATTCATCAATGGTAAAGCGCAAAGCCCCTCACCGTCCAATTATATCTTATAGGCCTATTCGACCATCAGATTTAGAGGTTCTTGAAAAAATTCATGGCGATCTGTTTCCTATCAGGTAAGATGATCTCGTGTCATTCTTGCATATAATGAGAGTTTATGTTGACAATTTGATAGTATCCTGAGAATAAGTTTGTGATCATTTTAGGTATGAATCTGAATTTTTCCACAATGCTGTCTATGGTCGTGATATTGTGTGCTGGGGAGCTGTTGATCGCAGTCGGCCTGATGCTCAGAGCAATGAGCTTATTGGATTTGTTACAGCCAGAATTGTTTCAGCAAAAGAAAGTGAGGTGAGCTTTGATCTACTTGTAATTAATTAAATTAGGCCTAATACATAAAAGTATCGATTTTGAACCAAATAAAGGACTGAAATATTACTGACTGCCTGTGGGAACTGATTTTCCATTCAAGATTTCACTTCGAATAGATGGATCATCTATATGAATGATTATAGTTTTGAGGATTTGCTGCTATTAATGCTATCAAATGCACATTTGCACTGCAGGTAGAAGATTTTATCAGTTCTGATTCATCAAAACCGGACCAAACACTAATATACATCTTAACGCTGGGAGTCATAGAATCTTATAGAAATCTTGGAATAGGCAATTCTTCCACCCTCAGAATAACTATCTTTTTTTCGTCCTTTTTGAAAATTGTTTCTTTCTGAATATTATCTTATTTTCTGTTTTCAGCTAGTTCACTTATCCACAAGGTCATAAATTATGCCTCAAGTATCCCAACTTGCTGCGCTGTTTATCTGCATGTGATTTCATATAATAATGCGGCCATCCATTTGTACCAGAAAATGTCCTTCCAGTGCGTACGACGGTTGTACAATTTTTACTTTATCAATGGGCAGCATTATGATTCATATATGTTCATCTACTACGTAAATGGTGGTCGATCTCCTTGCTCGCCCCTGTGAGTAAAAGCTTCCCCACATGATCTTCTAAAGATATCTTAAAATTAGAAACCATATTCCCCACCCCACCTGGCGAGCCTGAACCCATCATCAATTAGATTTTTGAAATAAAATATAATAAGAAAGAAACAATTGGCAAATTTACGTGTTCTCAATATTACTTAATTTGAAGATTTGCAAAAAATGGCAATCTCGAAGTAATTGGAGTATTCTACACCCAGCATCAACTTCATGGAATGTTAGACTCTGCTACATCTTATTTTGAATGTTATGTCAAGCTTTATGCTTTGGCATTTCTTTTCACTGAAGAATTTATGTTCAAACAAGTATTTATGCAGCCTGATGATCGTCAGTTCGTAAAATAGATGAATACTTGATAAACCTGAGTGGTAAATGATAAAAAACTTGTTAAAAGGAAATAATTACATCAAGAAACACTGAAGATTTAATTGACTGCAGTTTGAGGTATGAAGCTCTAGGATCTTTCAAATTAGATCTGTATCTAATTACTCAAGGTGGAAGCTCGTAAACTATGGGGCTTCAATAATTCGTATCCGTTTTATCTGTTTTTGCTTCTCCCCTAGTGTTGTTGTCATCTTTATACTTGGTTTAGCAAGAGGTGTCATGCATCGTTTAATCAATATGCTGTACTAACGAGTGTGCTTTGAATTTGCAGAGGGCTTGTTACGCTGTTGGTAACGTATGTGAAGAGAGGATTTAACTTGATGGTTTCAAAGCTGTGGAAAAATGAAGACAAGAAGATTTCAAAATGGCCCACGAGCAAAGAATCCGGTTACCTTCTCCCAGTGGTTCAAAACAAGAGAGAGCTCACAGCTTAAGATATGCATCTTCGATATTTCTAGTTGCCCATTGTGATGCGTGATTTTACAGAGGAATAAGGTCATAACTAAATTTTGAGTCTTCTGTATTAAAGTACTGTGGCATGGAGACGCTGCTGCTGGATAAGTTAGCGAATATGTTGTATATTAGAAGTTCTGAGTAGGGTTATATCTCATACCTTTAAATCTTTGTTTGTTTGAAATTGGAAAGGATACAAGAATGCATGTCTTTATTTATATTTGGGTTACTTTTCATATTAAGGTTGAATTTTAAAATGTTATCTTAGTCTCAATGTGTATCAGAGTTTATTTATAGCTTCGCTGACCACATTGATCTGTTTAAAGTTCAAAATGAGCCATTTCAAGATTATTTTTATTAAACTAGTCCTTTAATAAAGTAATTGTATTTTTGTTTTATTATGTTCAGAGATTTGAGCAAGTGATGATGCAATAAACCCAAGTGGATAAGCTAGCCGGCAGGTGACAAGAAAAAGGAAAAATAAACATCTACTGAAATTAATCTTTAAAATTTTTTACCCAATTCTTCAAATAAGCAATTTTTTACGTGAATTCATAAATTTTTCTTACTTTCAGTTATACTTTTTTCATAAACTTATTTTTTACGAAATTTATTTTCAAAAAAACTACGTCAAAAGCATAAGGTGTGGAGGCCAAGCTTTGAGCTAAGCGAGGCCTAGACATAATTTAATATTAATTTTTATTTGTAGTCATTCTAGAAATCATTTATTAATTAGAATAATACATATCAAACATCTAAAATAGTAAAATGATATATTAAAAAAAAAAAAAGGAGCGCCTAGACCCTAAACGAGGCATTTTGTCTTCGGTGCTCTTTTTACAATGCTGCTTCAAAGCCATGAGTCAACTTATACAAGATCTAACTAATGATTTGAATAATGAAATATTGGAAATTACAGTCAAAATGTCAAGATTTAGACTAGTAAAACATATGGCCCTCCTAGTTAGTTTCCATTTTAAATAGTTTTTGGGCAAGAATATTTACTCCCTTTCCATTCAATCCAACTGCTACTCAAACTTGTTGCCCTCTAAAAATTTGTGACGCCTAAACACGTAATCTCTTTTTGAACAAATCAGAAGACGCTAATATATCTTTTGATATTTTGGCACAACATCTTGATATCTTTATTTATTTACTAAGAAAGTGTGATATTTTAAAGTGCCAAAAAGATACAGCAAGTTTGACAAAGTAAATGTCAACACAATCGAAACTGGTTGAGGAGTTGCATCTTGCATTGGTGTAGATTATTTACTAGGCCGATTGCGGTCTGACTTGGGAAACTATATACTGTATACAACTTTTTTGTTGCATATAATATTCTACCGCCACAAAAGATAGAAAGGGGGTAATTTTTGTACAATTATTCTGTGTGTATAGAATAATCGTTCAGTGGATAATTACAGAATACTCACATGGGGTCCACAGGTAATTTTTGTACAATTATTCTGTGTGTACAAAATAATCTTTCACGGGATAATTACAGAATACTCACATGGGATCGTGGACCCATGTGAGTAAAATATTATAAAAAAAATACCCATCCACTCAATTGTGTGTAACCTGTAAATGCCCTGTGAAGATCCCTTGTATGCCAAGTGCTTCCCATTTTTGTAAGGGCCAGTAAAACTCGGCTTAATTAACTATGACTATCACTTTCATCTCCATAAAACATGTATATACTAATTGCCTTGTTCAAAGTCAAATTATATTTTTCTTAAATTTAACTATGTTAAATTAATACTTGTTGGTAAAATCTTCGAGAAGGGAGAAAATGGAAATGGATACGATGAACTTTGAACTTGGAAAAACTTTAGAAAAAAAACGAAAAATTCAAATCAAGTTCTATGGCTGTCTTTTTCCTTAAAACGTATTTCTCTCTCCCTACAAGTGCTTGGAAACTCGCCTTCCAAAAATACAATAGAAACAAGATATGTTATCTGCGTTATACAAAGATAATCTGAAAGATAGAGACGAAAAAACTTGGTATTAGAAAAAAGCTCGTATGGTACGTCTACAATAAAAAAATTATCCTATAGACGTGCCTAATGGAGTGGTACTCTCTCCTTGCACCATCTCAAATACTACAAATTTCTTCAAATATGATTTGATTCCATCTCTAAGCCTTAGTCAATAGTCCTAAGAGTTGACCCAAAATCACAAATCAAATGTTCTAGAAACTTTATTTTTGAAAATATTATCTAATAATGCTACCATCACATAGTTTATCTTTAACCTTGTAGAAAACATGTCATTTTCTTAGAAATTAATTAACTAAGGCTGTAAATAAATTAATGCGTTATGCATGGTAGAAAATAATCGTGTTTAATTAATAAAAAATAAACGAGATTTCCTTCCAGAATCTGAACCAATATACTAAAGCGAGATGCTTTGAATAATTGAATGGATAAGAACGGCAGGCTTGTACATATGCATGGTGATGGATATAGCTCGGCCCCGAATTTCAGGTAATCTGCGGTCTTCAAACTCTCAATGAAATTTTTAATTGAGGCACTAAATATTAATATAGGTTCAGTTGAGTTAATTTCACGACTTTGTCATATGTTGTTTTTCAAATTAATAAAAAAAATACTTAATTGACACTGATACAATAAATAATCTTCCATGTAATGTAATCTCATTGCACCACGTCATAAAAGTATTAAATTGAAAATCATATGTGTTTTAACATTTTAATCTAAATACATTCTCATAACCTTCAATATATTATTTCAATTTCTAAGGTATCATATGACGATTACATGAATTATCGATTCCAATATGATTATCAACTAATTATTTTTCATTAGTTCAGGAACCACAAGTAATGAACTATGACAAAGTAGTGAAATTTAAAATAAAATTAAAATTCGGTAGCCCAAATGGAACAAAATTCATCCAAAAGCTTGGATGATATTTCGAAATTCTAAAGAGGATACTTCAAATGCTCAAACGTGTGCCTTAGAAATTCCTAAGGTTGATTGGTAATTGAGACGTCTATATGAAATAAACATTGTCTAGTCTTAAATTTAATTTCACACGGTAGAAAATGTTTCGTCTATTTAAAAATAAATGTCCCTAAAATACGGAACTTTTGTAAGAACAATAATCGGACGAAATTTTTATTCCACATTTTCCATATTTGGTTGGTAATTTTCAAATTTTCTTAAGGCAATTGAGCTACATGTTTGAAACTCATGTAACTTAATATAAAATTAAAATATAACATACAAAAAGACTTGTACCAGTAGGTTATTTTCTTATTTAAGACGTTTCCTTTAAAGTCTCAAGTACCGTTATACATCAATTTCCTAAAAATAAGGATTTTAGCCTTTCCTAAGGTTACAGGTTCTATCTATTTCAATGATCACAAAAAAAAAACATGTATTGTAGTAGTTTTACGGAAACTTTTCCCTATCACAAGTACATCTTGTATATGGTGGAGGTGAACTATATCTTATCAGTTGGTCAACTAATTTCTATTGGTACTTGCGTCAAAGCTTATTTATTTATTTTATTTTATTTTTTAAGAATGTGTATTTAAAATGTAGCAAAAATTATATACGATTTTTTTTCCGAGAATGTGTAATTAAAAATGAGTTGAAGGAGAAGTGATTTTTAAATAATCACTTTCAAATAAGGATTTAATCTTGCTTTTTCTTCTTCTTCTTCTTTTTTTTGGGGAGAGGGGGGGGGGGTAATTTTTGCAAAGAAAAATTAAACGTACTAACAAATTAATTGGAACCGATTTCACAATGCTTATTGAAGAAAGTATATATTCTTGAATTGCTATAGCACCATGGATGATTTTGAATTTGGTTGAACAACAGCAAATTTGAGGCCGAAGTCCGGTTCAAGTCTTGCAAGTAGCTAAGGCCCTGTTCTCTTTACCGTTTTCGGGCCGTTTTCTGTTTTCGATTTTTCAAAACGGTGAAAACGTGTTCTCTTTCTCGTTTTCGAAAACGAATTTTCGAAAACAAAAAAAAAATTTGTGAAGAAAACACAAAACGACTTTTTTGTCGTTTTGGGCGTTTTCAGTGTAAAACTTGAAAAAATTGAAAACGCGGAAAACGCCTTTTTTTCTTTTTTTCTTTTTTCGGAGGTGGTATGGTGATTCTCAAAATTTCAAAAAAAAAAATTAAAAATTATTATATATATTTTTTTTTTATTTTTTTTTTCACGTGATCTTGTGGTGATTCTCAAAATTTCAAAAAAAAAATTCATTTTTTTTGTTTTGAGAAACTAACAAAAAGAACGCATTTTCAACAATTTCAAAACAAACACTCAAAATACAAAATTCAAAATGAATTTAAAACTCAAAACACAAAACTGAAACACAAAGAGAACACCCCCTAAACAATCGTACTTTCCATTTCTAAAAAGGGTAAATTTACATTTATTGCACATTTATCTTAATTGTTATTTTGGATAATTTTTGCTAAGAAATAATGATCATATTAAAAATTTACTTACGTGTAACATACTTATAAGTAATTTTTTTGTATCATATGAATCAAATCTCCAGTGTACCAAAAATAATCTATGAGCTTATTTGGGAGTGATGTTTTTCCCCAAAAAATTGATTTTTTAGTCGTTATTTAACTATTTCAACCGTCATATTTGATTTCTTCTCTCACAGGTGAACCCCACTTTTCTTCTAACGATCAAAAAATCAATTTTTAAAATCACTCCCAAACAGACTCTATAACGTTAATGTGATTATTTTAATAATTTGTCATCCAGAATTGCATCCATGCTGATGACTGGTATTGAATTGCGATTCATGTAAAAACACACGGTCGGGTTGACTGAATAACTTAAGACACACGCAACAATTTAATTTGTTTAATGTGTAACTCGTTGCAACTCAAGACTAATTAATTGTATGTACTTTGAGAATATGGATTCTGTCTCCCTGCACAAACCGCTGTGCTCACTATAAAAACCCCTCCTCTTTCACATAACAAACAAAATCTAACTTTTTCTTCTCACAGAGAACACAACCCTATCCAGGTTTGTAAATTACCTTCCCAGTTTCTCTTAATTAGTTCTATTCTCTCATATATCATGTGATCAAATTTCTGCAGATGGAAGGATCATCAACAAGCAGCTGGGACGAAACGAATGGTATAAAGAAGGGGCCATGGACACCGGAAGAAGATCAAAAGCTCGTAAATTGCACCCAAAAGTACGGACATGGAAATTGGAAAGAGGTTTCGAAGCTTGCCGGACTCAATCGGTGTGGAAAGAGTTGCAGGTTACGGTGGACTAATTATCTACGTCCAGATATCAAGAGAGGAACCTTCTCCGAGGAAGAAGAACAAACAATCCTCGAGCTTCATGCACTTCTCGGAAACAAGTATGTATATATTTTCATCTTATGCACAATCAACTTTGTTTAGATCGATTAGATCAACATGTTATTAGAGTCAGGGACGGAGGGAAGGAGGGCAGGCCTACCTCAATCCCATATTCTAGGAAAGTTTAGGCCCTGTTCTTTTCGGGCCGTTTTCTGTTTTTGATTTTTCAAAACGGTGAAAACGTGTTCTCTTTTCCGTTTTCGAAAACGAATTTTCGAAAACGAAAAAAAAAATTTGTGAAGAAAGTGTTTTCAGTGTAAAACTTGAAAAAACTGAAAACGCGGGAAACACCTTTTTTTTTTCGGACGTGGTGTGGTGATTCTCAAAATTTAAAAAAAAAAAAATTTAAAAATTATTTTATATATATATATATATATATATATATATATTTTTTTTTTTT